CCATAATAACAGTAAATAATATGTGACTAGATACTTTTCAAGACACTTATACAGCTTAAAGTGACATTTCAATGCTTAACGACAGTAGGTTTATTAGGTTAACTAGGCAGGTTAGGGTAATTAGGCAAGTTATTGTATAACGATGATTTGTTCTGTAGACTATTGATAAAAAAATATAGCTTAAAGGGGATAATAATTCTGACCTTAAAATGTTTTTTAAAAAATTAAAAACTGCTTGTATTCTAGCCGAGATAAAACAAATAAGACTTTCTCTAGAAAAAAGAAATTTTACCTGACATACTATGAAAATTTCCTTGCTCTGTTAAACATCTTTTGGAAAATATTTAAAAAATAAATAAAAAACAAAGGGCTAATAATTTTGACTTTGACTGTATACAAGCTTTTAAAAATGTCATTCAGTGTTTTTGGGCTGATGTATGTACTTTGTGTATCCTGAGCTCTTTAAAAAAATGTGTGCGCACACTTGGCGAATAAAGCTCATTCTGATTCTGTTTTTTCAAAATATCTTCTTTTGTGTTCAACAGAAAAAAAATAAAGTCACAGTGGCCCATAATGGAACCACCCGAGGGTGAGTAAAAAGTGAAGGAATTTTCATTTCTAGGTGAGCTGTGTCTTTAAAAGATAACTTATTAGAATGAACAAATTACATTTAGTAGACCACGAATAACACCTAAAATTCAGAAGATTCCTTCAAATGTTCTAAAAAGAGAAAATAATGAGGAAGAACAAATTTCAGGAGAGCTTTAGGCACAGTTAGGCTTGTGACACTAATTTCATCATAAATACCATCCACAATATTATTTTTCTGAAGCAGCCAACACTCAAAAAATGGTTTGTGTTGACAAGTAAGTTATTCAAACAACCTAATGCCAGAGATTTCTTTTGGGAAACTTCAGGTAAACTTCAATCCACTTAAATTTGTTACTTTAACCTAATCAATTTGTGTTGGGAACACTTGAATGAATTATGTGTAACCCTGTATTTTTACAGTAAAATGTACAGTCAGTTTTCACTATGTATTACTTATTTAAAATAATCAGTTTTATTTCTTTGGAATTGAAGTTCCCAAAATAGGAGGTGTAAACCATAATTTGAAACACAGTCGCATGCGAAAACATGTGGATCGATGGGTTTTAATGAAGCGGACCGGAACTAAAATGGGGTTCCCTGGGTTATAACACCCCCTGGTTTGTGATGAACAGTCCAGTTTGTTGATGGAAGTTCTCTAATCACTGAGCGCGTGCAACAGAGCAGGATGTTGTCATAGCAATCTATCCTAGAAATGTTAGACTGACATGTTTAGAATGGGTTTTTGCAGACCTCTGGTTCACCTGCTCCCCACTGACACAAACACTCTCAGACATGCAGAGAAACGTTCATGGTTTCGGAGGATCTGAGATCGAGCTCTTTCCACTGCGTTCATGGATCATTGGTTACTAGAAGTGCAGTCCAGTCTTTTCATTTCCTGTTGGAAGACCTTAAACCTCTACACAAACAGGAAGTACTGTCTCAGTCATTAACATGCATGTCTTGTCAAGAGGTTTCAGGGGTGACTTGATTGATTTGCTGTTCTAAGGGCAATGTTAAGGTTGAGTTATGGCTGCTAAACAAACACTCTCTTCACGCATTCACACATTGCCGAATAAGACCTAAGTAAAGCATCAGGCCAGGTAGGACAAATAATGTGTTAAAGCAATTTGTGTGACGGATATAAAAAATTCACTGTTAAAATAAATAGACATATTTTACATTGCCCTTTATTTATAGCGTTACACAATCACTACAGCAAATTCAATTATTAATAAATTATTTGGGTCATAAATGGAAATGAAAAATACCATATTACAGTAAAAAATAAAAACTTTAAATTCATCTACATTTATACAATATTTACCTTTAATTGTAAACTTTGTTTATCTGGATACAATCTTAGAAAACAAAAGGTACACGATGGTACAAATAATGTTCCTTGAGGAACAGTTTGTACCTTTGTAAAAGTTGTACCTCATATGGTACAGAAAAAGCCTCTTATGATACTGTTCTGTACCTTTTATGGTACGTCTGAAATAAGGGTACACAATTGTTCTCAAATTGGTACAAAAGGGTTGTACAACTCCTTCTTTATTACAATACCTATAAAAATAAATGTTACTGGAAAGGCCAAGTGATTTTATTAATAATTTCCATATTAAAACATTACAATATATGATGCAATAATACAAAACAACTGGTAATACATAATAAAACTATAGGTATTGTAAACTAAACATTTAAGGCATTTTAAATAAATGTTTCGTAAGCATTTTAACACTGTTAAGTCTCTTGTCACTGTGGTGGTACCTTTATGGATCAGATTTGTACCTTTGATGAAGGTACAATATTGTATCTGCAGGTTTTAAAAACCAAAGGTACATTTTGTTTTCCCATGGTACAAATCATGTCCTTACAGTTACAAACTGCAATGGTACAAATTTGTTTCTTTGTCTTAAGGTACAATTCTGTCCCATAAAAAGGTGCTGCCCCAGTGACAAGGGTTTGCACCTTCTTTGGTACAACATTGCACCATTTTTTCTGAGAGTGTATTAAAAGTAAGCAAGAAAAAAACAAAAAAAAAAAAATATATTTTTTAGCAAAACCACAATATGAAAATACAATATGTAATAATAGCAAGTATGTAAAAATTTCTATACACACACACACACACACACACACACACACACACACACACACACTATATATATATATATATATATATATATATATATATATATATACTCTAACCGGCCACTTTATTAGGTACGCATGTCCAACTGCTCGTTAATGCAAATTTCTAATCAGCCAATCACATGGCAGCAACTCAATAAATTTAGGCATGTAGACATGGTCAAGATGATTTGCTGCAGTTATTCAGATTTTCACGCACAACCATCTCTAGGGTCTCGATATCTGTTGCAGCATTCAGAAGGTAGGGTCAGAATTTGACGTTAATAACATGAAAGAATGGATCTATCCTGCCTTATATCAACGGTTCAGGTTGCTGGTTGTGGTGTAACGGTGTTGGGGATATTTTCCTGGCACACTTTGGGCCCATTAGTACCAATTGAGCATTGTGTCAATGGCATAGCCTACCTGAGTATTGTTGCTGACCATTTCCATCACTTTTTGACCACAGTGTACCCATCTTCTGATGGCTACTTCCAGCAGGATAACACGCCATGTCATAAAGCGCTAATCATCTCAGACTGTTTTCTTGACAAGTGAGTACACTGTACTTGAATGGCCTCCACAGTCACCAGATCTCAATCCAATAGAGCACCTTTGGAATGTGGTGAAAAGGGAGATTCATCCATTGATGGATATGCAGCAGACTAATCTGCTAACCCGGTACTAGTATGGTGTACCTAATAAAGTACCCAGCTGTATAGTGAATATACAATTAATAACATGTTTACAGATATTTATGATAATTGAAAATACAAACCTAAATCAAGTATATATAACCCTTTGCCAATTATGGGTTAAATTACTATGAAATGTGAATGTGAAAGTATGCCACCCTTAATGCCTAAGTTGTGTTATACAAGTGAATACATTTTATTATTTTTTTAAAAGGTTGTCATAAATTATATAGAGTATATAATGCATACTTGTCTGCTATTTAGTATAATATAGTTTAATACAGCACAGTATATATTTAGTATAAATACATTTATAGACCCTTCCCAGTAGCATAAGACGTCATGGTTGAGTAAATTTAGAGCATAGTGGGTGTGAGAGTACAGCAAATAATTTTTTACAATCCTATTTGCTGAAATAATAAAAGAAAAACTCCACGATGGTGTTATCAAGACTTTTAGAAAAATGACCAAAAAAATTGTGTGAGACGACAACCAGAGAGAATGTCAAATTTACTGTCATCTCCATAAATGCTTCGTTAGAAAACACCTCACATAAGCGGAAAATCATTTTCTTGTAGTTTGAAGCAAAGATGATATATAATACATACATAAATGCATATAAATGCTCATACGTTTTAAAAAAAATCTAAATATTAAAAACTTTCAAGAGTTTAAAATTATGATGACCGTTAAACGCGTCATAGCAGTCTCATGAAAAGGGTTCAAGGGGAAATGAAACTTAACCTTTTAGAAAAAGGCTTTTAATACTTTCTTATTATCTGAGCTTGCTGTTTTCTGTTTCATGTTGAATGTATTGTATGCTATTTTATTCCTTATCTGATCATTTTTAACATAATTTATGTACAGTACAATGGCCAACAACTGTTGTTTTATTGCACTTTATAAATAAATAAGTCTAACTTTAAGTCAAAGTCTAAATGCCTCCTTTAGTGCCTGAATGAGTTCCACTGTATTTTTTTACACTGAATTTCTGGCAATTAAAGCTGCTAGTCCTTTAATTATAAATTTATTAGTAATGTTTTACAATGTGCACTTGTTTGCAAGAGTCTTGAATTGAATGACTATCTATTCACAAATAATTGTGTTTATGTATACAGCCTGTGAAAACGGTCCTTTCTGTGAAACTAAGGCAACAGGGAAGCTGACAGACGACTGCTGTTGATTATCGAATAAGGAGGAGCTGGACTTCAGTGTGGCGTCAGGAGTCTCCCCTTTAATTAGAGGGCATGAAAACTCATTTGTAGTTTTAAAAGAAGGGGGGACGGAAAAAGACGGAGAGAAGGACAGAGAAAAGGAAAGAGACTACATGTGGGGTGGGGAAACCATCTGGACCAGTCTTGACCTGGGAACTGACACGGCCCTATCATTATTGGTTACTTAGACATGTTCCAGACACATCCCATGTCACAACTGTGATGAAAACTCACTCACTCATTGACCTCACACAAACACTGTTGACATTGTTGAGAATTAGTCATTCGGTCAAGGAAAAAGCTGCATTAATTATCCATGGCAGACACGCAGGCTTGCACCCTTTTTTCCTCAACATGTCCTGCTTACCTTTGTACAGTTTGGCTCCCTCGAATACCGTAGGAAGGAAATTACTGGGAGTCATCTTCCATCCCGTCTCTTCTTCCTGCAAAAAAGCAGATTTTTATCAAGGTGGATCCTTCATATTCATAACATCATGACGTACATTTCAATTCATGATTTTTTATGTGCATTTTAGAATATTTTGCTGGATGGAAAGGCCAAGATACTGTTACAGTAGTCCTACAATGTGAAAGGTAGGTAACAGTTTATTTTGATAGTAAACTTGAGTAGACATAACTCCTATGCCTCGTTTCAACTGAGTAAACTCATTCACACACACATTCATTCACTATGACAAATTTTAGTTTACTTAATTCACCTATACTGAAGCACATGTCTTTGGACTGTGGGGGAAACTAGAGCTCCCGGAGGAAACCCAAAATAACAAAGGGAGAACATAAAAACTCCATGCAGAAATGCCAACTGGCCTAACCTCGAGCTCAAACACCTTCTTGCTTTGAGGCGATAGTGCTCACCACTGAGCCACTACGGTTATGCCAGAAAGTTGCGACTGTAGTTGCGAACTTTTGCAACCACGTCAACCAACTCTAATTAGAGTATTATTAGCAACTGTTGGGTTAGGGTTAGGTTTAGGACACACCAAGTTGACACCTAAAGCGGCCTTTCCACTCCATACAACAAACAACAAGCGACAGACCAGAAGTCATTTATTTTTAATGGAGAGTAGTCCGGGGGCTGCGTGGAGTTCCAATCATCTCTGTATGCAGCAAATTCGGATCCGATTTGAGCTGCGGATCTATTAAAATATTTGAACTCCTGCGACTAGATCATATGCAACCTGCCAACCGGATGTGATGTATTTCAGTGTTGTCCAAGCAGGTCCGTGTGCACGAGGAGAAATAGTAGTTTTTTCGTTATCTTTGGAATCAGAAAAAAACTCTCTCTCTCTCTCTCTCTCTCTCTCTCTCTCTTTATATATATATATATATATATATATATATATATATATATATATATATATATATAACATTTCTATTTATAAATGAGTAATAAAAATATATATGTTTTTTATGTTGTCTCCACATTGTCTTTAAAATTTTTAGCAGTCTATGAGTTTCTATAGTATTCATTCATTTATTAATTTAACCATGGTGAACGCACGGAAAATAAAGGTTCTTTTAGCACTTTATTTAGGACACCACGAGCAACTTCTCTCCCATGGTGCACGACAACACTGAAAAATCTGTGCGACTGCCACAAGGGGTGTATCCTGACAGTTGTGTCCAAATGTCATGTGCAGTGGAAAGGCGGCTCAACATTTAGCGGCAACAAAATTAGATAGGACTAATCTGCCTATAGCCTCTTTTACGCATACAGACCTTTCCGAAAAATTACCCACAATTTTCCAGAAAGGTAAAAAAAAAAAAAAAAAAAAACGGTAAATTCGTTCCGGGAATTTTCCAGGAAAGAATATTCAGACGTGCTGTTTATGAAAGTAAAAGCCTTTGAAAATTGACACATTTAGCTGCTAGATGTTAGTCAGATAACGTTTCTTACACGTTCCAACTATGTAAAAAAAAAACATTGATAAAATGCTAATGATAAACCGCTGTTTGTTTACCTTCAAGCTCTGCTTCAGATGCTTGACGCGTGTGCATGTGAAGCAGCCGGTGAGCGCCAGCACACACATATCATGTATCTCAACATGCAAAAGTGTCCCTTCATATGTTTTCATCGAAGTAGCTTACAGTACCTATCCATCTACAGAATTTGTAATGTCATCAAATCTGTAAACATTTAGCTGCGGTTAGCACTACTGCCTTTGGATGTCTCTGGGCCAAAGCAGCTGCATGAATGCTAAGTCTTTTAAATAAGTGTGAAACCATCAACAAAAGTTCGACCCCTTCTATGTTTACAAATACAAGCGCAGCCGTTTAAAGGCCATTTCTGGTTAATGATGTCAGAATTTACCGGTATTGTGTAATGGATGTGTCTGATGGTCTTTTTCGGAATAATTCCAGAACGTTCTTGCCTGTGTGAACAGTGTTTTTTTTTATTTACCGGTAAAGTGTCTGCAATTTTACGGATATTTATCAGTATCACTGTGTGAAAGGGGCTAGTGTGTTGATAACCTCAACAAAAATGTGTGATTGGCTATCATTTTGTAACCTACTGTTTGACACATTTTATACAAATACTGAGGTTTAAGGAAGCCTCCAGAGCTGAAATTATGATATAATAATTAGTGTTTTATTTAGCCATGAGCTGCAAGATGTGGACTCATCTAAACAGATTAGGTCATTTTAACAATTAAACTAGAGCAGGCTCTAGGCTCATTTTGAGAAAATTAAACGGTTTTTGACCTTGGAGGCATGGAATTTTTATTATATGAGACCGTCAAAACAAAACTAGTAACCTTTTTCTCAACTTTAGATAGAGAGAATGCTACTGTTCATACTTGAACTTTAGATGGTGGGCAAGAAAAGTCCTCTGAAATGATTTGTAAAATTGTGGATAAATCAGCCAAGACTGAGATTCCACATGAGAGATCAAAGCTCTTCCCAGGGCGATATCTTGCACACTGCTCTGGAGCAGGGTCACCCTCAGCACCGCCATTTTAATGATGTGAATACACAGCGGGGGCTGAACGCCATGCTGCGAGCGTGATTTACGGCGCCTCCTGTTTTCCTTTCTCTCAACTAGGGGTCGCACATTAAAAGTAAATCAATGTCCTCACATACTCATGCGAATGTTTGGCTTGGTTGTCACAAGCACACACTCGGAACGCTGAGTGTTTCAGTTCAGGAGCTTTTTCATAAAGAGTTAGCCAAATGGAGGCTGTATATTTTATGGGGGTTCTTTCTTTAAACACATTTCTCCATTAGCAACTAATGACTCCCAAAAGAGACAGAAATCCATCTGAAAATATGAAAGGCCCTTAAGTGCCTGAGTGCTGTGATTTATGATTATTCGTGTGCCATTAGACATTAGACCACAAAACGCATCTAGCAGTTTATATCACAGATCCCCGTGGCTATGGCAGGAGAAAATTGTAAAGTTTATGCGCCAGGTTTAATTTGATTTAACTATAATTGAATTTGTCAGGTAATATGTAAAATCTGTGTTTTTTAAATATAGAAAATGTTTATTTTAGTGTTCTACCTCCTGATTTTGTCATATGGCAACATGATATTTATGTTTATTTCATGCAATGATGTTTTTAAAAACAACGTTGTAAATTTTTTTGTTGGAAAGATAAGACTCTTTAGTCTTCTTTAAGACTAAAGTTTAGCCAATGAGGTGCTTTAGTTAAGTCACATGATGTGCAGTGTTTTTCTGTGGCATGCTTTCTGACAGAATGCAAATTCATTTTCTAAATGCAAATGAAAAAGACCAACTCAACATCAGATCCAATACAAAAACAATCTGAGACACCACCTCCAGTAAGTTAGGAAAGTTTTTTTTATCAAATTCGTTTTCTGTAAATCAATGAAATGTTTGTTAAATGGCAACACTGTGCAATAGTGAAATGTGCAATGCTGTCATATTTTAATGCCATTTGCAATGTAAATAAAATCTCATTTTAATGGCAGTACTTTTGATTAGATATAAACACTTTCCAACAACTGAGAAGTGTTTTATAAGTGTATTAGTCACGACCACCATGTTCTATAGTAAGTGAAAGAATAAAAGGGCAGAACTGGCTCTTCCTTCAGATGAAAGTTTTAGTAAACATGACCATCATGCAGATTGAACATTTGATAAGGGCAGTGATGGAGACAGTTCAGGTAAGTTAGCTCAGAGGCAGATAAGAGAGGCATAGTATAGTACAGTAAATAGCAGGGGTGCCCAAACTCGGTCCTGAGGGCCGGTGTCCTGCATATTTTAGTTCCAACTCCAATTAAACCCACCTGAACCAGCTACAGAAACTTCCAGGCAGGTGTGTTGAAGCAAGTTGGAGCTACTATGCAGGACACCAGCCCTCCAGGACCGAGTTTGGGCACCCCTGGTACAGTATAGTACATAAACATTGTTACCTAGTAGCATTATTCTGATGCATCTGGATTTATTAGACGTATTTATTTGTTATAATGTTTACTAGATAAAATATTTAATGCATGTTGTATACATGATAATACAATATTAAGCTTGTTTTCTGTAATATTCAGCAAAAAAACAATGGAATAAACGAAAGCTGTTGGAATATTGTTGGAAAGTATGTTTAGGATGTCATTTATAAGTTCTGTGTTAAAGCTTAACAAACAAAACAAGCAAAACAAACAACATTTCAAATGACACAAGTATTAATTAAAAGGGAAAGTTCTAAGTTTTAAATTTCTAAGTTAGATTCACTATTGGAGGTTGTTGCCATATGGCAACATATCATAAAGTACCTTAAGAAAATTCTCCATTTTTTTTACAGCACTTCAAGTTAAGCCATTCTAAGAAAGCAAAAGCAGACAATGCGTGCAGAAGAGCGTTAAATTATTTGGCAGACACCTTTATTCAAAGAGACAATCATTGCTTAGTCTCAATTCCTCTAGTGCACATAAAATAACATATTTTCTGGTGAAACTATTCACTGGATTAGGGAACATAAAAATGCTTTTAAAGTAATTTAATTAATTTAATTTTAAATATAAATTTATTTTAGGCAGATTTTATTTCAACATTTACCAAAACATTATTGAATACAATAAAGTTAATTGTGCATTAAAATGTATTAAATAATGTATAAATCCATAATTTAATTAAAAAAAATGTCATTTATAACATAATATAACATCATTAAACATTGTAAAGCAAGCTTTAGGCTCATTTTGAGTGAAAAAAGTTAGCAAATACATCAATTTACAAAGGCTAGAATGTAAAAATGAATAAAACAATTCCTTAACATTATATATTTGAAATTCATTTTGGTCATATGACAACAGTTGGTGGAATATTTCAATATTTAGACTATTTGCAAACATTCTGGCCTTAGTAAATCGATGTATTTGCTAACTTTTCTTCTTTAACAATGACCCTTTGAGAGGCACTTGAAAATTTAAACTAGATCTAAAGTAGGCCAACATCAGAGCTCAGACAAAAATTCCTTAATTAACGATTGAAAGGCTCAGCTTTCAGACAGGATGTGAGCCTTTGAAAAGGGTCAGATTGGTCTTTCGGCCTCATTGTGAGCAGATATCGGTGGATTGGCTCTCCGATGAGGATTACAGGTGCTCTTATGAAGGAAAGCCTGAACAAAGGCTTCATTCTAGAGCTCCGGAACGCAGCCAATCAGCATGAGAGGGCATTTTCACTGCTTGACTGCCTCTCAGCAACCGCTGGTCAACATATGACGCTCAGAGGTCACATCAGACAACATAATACCTCACATGAACCCAAATCACCTTGGACTTAAACACAACCGTCTGCCACGCCTAAAGCTTTAATACGCCATTATTCCAGTCTTAACTCTTTGTTCAACCATAATGTAGAAAGACAGGAAATCTGCATGTCATAGTAGAGAAAACACCAGCTCTATCTACGTTTAACAAGAGGAAGAGTTGTGAATAGGGAGAGCAAGAGGTTATCAAGAATAGGATGAAATCTTTGTGGAACAGAGAAGCAACGCCTCACTGAAATCACAGATATTTCCGGAGATCCTGGATGGGTTTAACAAACCTACGTCCTCACAATTCCTCATCTTAATCTAGCCTGAACAGAACACATTGAGTGATATTACTGTTCTCTAGGTATTCAAATGCATTTTCAATGTGTAATTATGCATGATAATATGAGTGCACAGAGTATGGTTAATGTCTTTTTCTGAGATGGAATGATGCAAGGGCTGGTGCAATAATGTCATAATTCTCTCAGCTATGACTCTTTTAAGTTAATAGCTGGAAACTTCAGGCCTTCTCACCTCGGGGAAATCTGTGAAATGCCAAGCACAGATGCTAGGAGAAAAGCCTGCAAACCTGCTTTCATCTACACTAAAAAAATGATATGACAAAAAGTCACGACAACGAATGAAAAAAATAAAATAAAATAAACATTTTAAAGTGACTCAGATTTCAACTATTTTTTTTGTTATACAGTTAATGTAATATTTTAGTCAGACTGATTGAAGTAGTGATGACTAGAAAAGTAAATTTTATTAAGCTAAAAAAATTAAGTCAGGAATTTATAAATATTTTGACAGTGTACACTGTAAAAAAATATTGTTGCCCTAATTTTTTTGTTGAATCAAGACTTTTGTTGAATCTCAACTTATACAGTACCAATTAAACTAACTAAAAATATCAAGTTAAGATTTGCATAAAAAATGTAGTTGAAACCTGATTAACTTATTAAAATAAGTTAAAACAACATAAAAAAACATTTGTAGTCAAATATACTTTCTGTCAAATATCTTCTACAGTGTACCTGTATTACAAATAAACCTAATACGATCTTGGCTGAAATGGAGCCATACCAAGACACAGACAAAAAAAAAAAAAAAAAAAACACTGTTGAGTATACAGAAAAGAAATATCCATCAAATTCTGGTATCATTTACACATACCGGGACTTTGTTTCAAACCCAAACGACCCAAAAGAAATGTTTTTAATTACTTCTGATAGTTTTATGTCCCTCCATTTAAAATAAAGTAACCAAAATTATTAAAAGAGTTCATAAAAAGATTCCTATCCATGTGCTGTCAATGATTGTTTATTTTTAATTTAATCTAAAATCTATATTGGTATTACTTCAAAAATAATAGTCATTTTGTTAGTGTATTTACTAAAATGAACTAAGAATATAAAATACATGTACAGCATTTATTAATCATTTGCTAATGATTTAATAAAATACAAAGTTGTGCTTGTTATTCTTAATGTACTGTGAGTTGACTATGAACATGAACTAACAATTAAAGACGTTTACAACATTTATCTATTTGAAATAGAAAAGCTAATTAAATATAAAATTATACTACATAAATGTAGCCTATATGTACAATTATTAAATAAAGCTCATTTCACACATTTAACCAAGTAGAAATTCTGGTAACACTTTAAAATATGACATGCAGTTAATGTTAGTTAATTTATTTATTAATATAAAGAAACGATGAGCAGCACATTCATTTAAGTATTTATGCATGCTTTGTAATGTTAGATAATGAAAATACAGTTGTTTATTGTTAACTTACTGTGTTAACAAGCATTTTAATAATGCATACTGAACTATGATTAATAAGTGCTGTGTACAAGCATTGTTCATTGTTTGTTAATGTTAGCAAAAACATTAACTAAAATTAACTATGTGTTCCGTATTGTAAATGCTTTAATATTTACCAGTATTCCATAAAAAAACAGATACACGTTTAATTTTCTAAATCTATTCCTAAAAATTGTTTAATGAAATGAATAAATGAATAAATAATGAGGTAAATCAATAATGCAGCATTTGCTACAATTTATTCTTGTTTAGCTAATTTAATTAAAGCGAAATATCTCATGTTCAGAATGAATACAGTTCATTTCATAATATGTCAACAACCAAAATATGTTTTAATGTAATATTTTTAAGACTCATTTAAGGTTTTGTACTTCATTCATCCAGTCTCGACTATGTAACTGACTATTTAAATTGTAAGACAATACTACAAGTGTGAACACATCTTAAATCATTAATTTCATTAAGGTTTGTTCTATGACATCTTTATAACCTTTTGGATCTTTAAAGATTTTGCCAGAAATGTTTTGTGTTGGAGAACCATAAAGCTGAGATAATAATGTTAAATTTATTTCTTATTGGGTGGAGGGGGTGGGGGGGTGTGTGAGCTGTTGCTTTGAATACTCATTCTGTAATTATGTTTAAGGTCAGCCCTTTGCTGTTCAACCAATAAAGAGTTGTTCATTGTGTGTGGGCATAACCACAGAGGTCATCCGAGTCACTAGACACTTAAATATGTGCCACATCAGCTGATTTAATTCTGCAGATAAAGATACTTTAAAAAGCCTTTATTGATCCCTGTGCAACTGTGATATGTTTTATCAAGCCCCACCTCGGTATCTCCTTTCCCCCCTTTTCCTTTCGGCTTTCCTTTCTTCTTCTCTTTGCGGTCATTCGCTTTTTTGTCCTTCTCGCTTTTCAATTTTTTCTTCTTCTCCCTCTCTTCTTCCTTAGCAGCAAACTCAGCTGCAACCTTCAACACATTTTCTATATGTTAACATACTTTAACATTAATGGAAAATGAAATTCTGCATCAGACTAATATGCTAACAACCTGCTCTGGGGTCTTCTGAGCAAAAATAGATGCAGAACCTCCATCCTCGGGACTTGGAAAGTCAGGAAATTTCCCTGAGGCATCTCTGTAACAAAAGAAGCAAAAATAAATAAATAAAATAGCAATATTTGCACAAAAAAAATAACAAAAAAAATAAAAAATAAAAAATATATATATATATATATATATATATATATATATATATATGCTTGAATGTTTTTTAAACAGTTAAAAACTATGGAAAACTGTGATCTTGATCGTTTTTTTTTCACTTCTCTGACTTTCTTGTCAGAAAAACTAAGCTAACGTCTCAGAATTCTGAATCAACACAAGCGCAAAACAGAATGTCAGAATTGTGCGAATTGAATTCAGAATTGCAAAAATTACATTTTTTGTAACATGTATTTATTAAGTTTTACACGGTTTTACAAGAAATCAAGCCCATTTACCCAAAAATGTCCTCTCACAGGTTTAGTAAAAAAAAATAAAAAATAATAATAATAATTAAAAAAATGTAATCAAACACATTCACATTTCACAACTTTAGACTTCTAAAGCTTCTTAAACATCAAAAATATCTCCCAGATATTACACAATTTAGAGGATTTCTTTCTTATTACAGGGTTTCTGCAGATTTTATCAAGTCAAATTTAAGACTTTTTAATACCCTTTCAAGATCATTATAAATTAAACTTCATTAATTTTCTTGTCGGCTTAGTCCCTTTATTAATCCGGGGTCGCCACAGCGGAATGAACCGCTAACTTATCCAGCAAGTTTTTACGCAGCGAATGCCCTTCCAGCCGCAACCCATCCCTGGGAAACATCCACACACACACACACACACACACACACACTCATACACTACGGACAATTTAGCCTACCCAGTTCACCTGTACCGCATGTCTTTGGACTGTGGGGGAAACCTGAGCACCCGGAGGAAACGCGAAGGCAGGGAGAACATGCAAAATCCACACAGAAACGCCAACTGAGCCAAGGTTCGAACCTGAGACCCAGCGACCTTCTTGTTGTGAGGCGTCAGCACTACCTACTGCGCCACTGCCTCACCATAAATTAAATTAAGACATGTTAAATTTATACATGGCTAAACACTAAGGATTTTTGATAACACTAAGGATTTTTTTTTGCTTGCCACAAAAATCAAATGTAGTTATTGTTTAGCCACATACTGTTAAAAGTATATTCTATTACAAAGAAAATTAAAATTGTTTTTGGCTTAGTCCCTTTTTCATCAGGGGTCGCCACAGCGGAATGAACCACCAACTTATAAAGCATTTGTTTTGCGCAGCGGATGCCCTTCCAGCTGCAATCCATCACTGGGAAACATCCATACACACTCATTCACACACTACGGTCAATTTTAGCATACCAAATTCACCTGTACCACATGTCTTTGGACTTGTAGGGAAAACCAGAGCACACGGAGAAAACCCACATGAACACGGGGAGAACATGCAAACTCCACACAGAAATGCCAACTGACCCAGCCGAGGCTCGAACCAGTGACCTTTTTGCTGTGAGGTGAACATGCTACCCACTGCACCACCACATTTCAACTCATTTATGTAAATAGCTTTTGTATAAATGAAAAATCATGCAAATTAAGGGATTTTGTGTTGGAGAATTTGCTATATTTCTTTGCAATAAAAAACATTAAAATAGAAGATTTTTTGAGATGGATTGTTGGTGATTGGATGGACCTCGGTCGATTGGTTAGCTTCACTTGGAAAGAGGAAATTTAAGACCTGTTTAAAGTTATTTAAGACCTACAACACAATGTTTCAGAGAATTTAAGACTTTTTAAGGCCTAAATTATTGTTTTGAAAATGTAAGACATTTCAAGACTTTTTAAGACCCCGTGGACACCCTGTATTACATTTGTGAGCTTTTCAAGAGCCAAAAATGTTTTTTATTAAGTTTCTCAACTAGTCCAACGGAGGGGCGATTAATCTTTTTTCCAACACAAAGCAACAGAACATCTTGCCTATATTAAATATAAAAAAAAAATCTTTTTTTAGTAGACAAAGAACAACTGTCTCCATATACGTACTTTTAATACATAATCCAGGACATAATAGTGTAACATACGGTCTTGGACATGGGGTTGAGGATCCAACTGCAGTGTCTTCATTGATAGAAAAAAAAATCATAGGTGAGGGTCTGGAAACAGCATGGGAAAATCAAGGCAAGGTAAATGCTTCGTAATGTTTAAAGATTAAAAGTGTGAGTGTGTGAGTGTGTGTGTGTGTGTGTGTGTGTGCTGTCTATAAAGATCTACATCTAATGTAGACCATCTACATATCTAGACCATCTAATTGTGTGTGTGATCGCTGGTGGGTGTAACAAATGGAAGTGCAATGAAAATAGAGACAATTTTTATTTTATTTTATGTAACTTAATTAATTAATGATTTATTATTTATGAAATAGGTAAATGTTTTACGTTTTGTTAGTTTAGTAGGATAATTTGTACAAATTCATACGAGTTATGAAAATGTAACATTTTTAAAAAGATATGTGGCACCAAACCCCATCCATAAACCCAACCATCATTAGGGGATAAGCAAATCGTACTAAACTGTATGACTGAGATTGTGCAAGTCCTATACGAGTTAGCCACTGAATTAAAAAAGTTACAAATTGCCATGACATAGCTTTGAAATATGTATAACTACGTATAATATGTATAGCTCCCTCCCAACTGTTTTTCTTTAGATTTTATTTCCAAAACAAAAAATATATATGGACAAACTCCATGAGAAGCACAATTTTTTTGCAGATTTTTTAAAGATGAGGTAACACAGACTTCACGTCAGTGTGGACATATAGATAAACAAAGCAGATCGCGTGAACAAAGGCAAATCCATCATATTTGAACTGTGAACCTCACACATGGGGAGGATACATTAGCCAGGTCTAGCGCTGGCTCTCAGGGGAGCTGGAGCAGGTTTAGAATAACAGGGTAAAAGTGTCAGTCAGAGCCCAGTCTGAGCGCTCTGCTCCAGCTAACGTAATCAGTAGCACACAGCTGAAACTCACTTACAATGAGGTAGCACATGTTGAAAGCTAGACTATACTGTAATGCAGAGGGGTTGAATTTCACCTAATCTGCTCACTAGAAGAAAAAAGAAAACACACTCAATTTTTTACTTTTTCACTTTTTATTAAAAAACTGCAGTGTTAATTCCTCAATCATTTATTTCTGCTCTTATTATTTTTGTGGCGCTAGTATTTTTGTATATTCATTCTTTCCCAAAATGTAATCAATTCAAATCAAAGCTAATTCATTGCAAAATAAGCAACCCTGGAAATAAATTGCAACATTTTGACATGATACATTTTGTCTTATTAATTACGTAATTTGTTTTGCCTAATGAAAGTGGTCTGTAACTCTGGTTGGTGGAATTTTCTCACAGCATCATGGATGATGTAGCTTTTCCGCAACAAATTTAGCTTTTCAAAATGATTTTTCATAGTAACGATTCATGGTTAACAACTTAGATTTCAATTATTATTTGGTACAATGCAATGGCTACACTAAAATATGGGGCTCTATTTTAATGATCTAGGCACAAAGTCTAAAGCGCATGGTGCAAAAGCATTAGGACGTGTCCAAATCAACTATATTAAGGACGGAAAAATACGCTTTGCACCGCGGTGCATGGTCTAACAGAGTTGTGTTACTCTCTTAACGAGTTATGGGTGTGTTTTGAACTTAACATGCACTAAACCAATAAGAGTCCCACATCCCATTTCCTATGAGGGTCAGTTGTGTTGTGCCATGGCGCATTTACTATTTACATGGCGGTCTTAATAAGTGGAAAAACTGCATGCTTCACTAGCGAGAAAACAGTTAAACAGACTATATTTGCAGCGTGAGGATAAAGAGTGAGCCTCCTCCATTAAGCCTCTTTACTTTCTCTTTACTTTACTTTTACTCTTTACTCCTTTATTTTCGTAGAGTAAGGAAACAGTAGAAACCCATTTCACTGAAGACATATATAAGCTAAGATCTTAAATTTTGTTTGTTAAGTGCAAAGATTTGTTTCAAAACTAATTCTAAACTCAGCTCTAATTCTCAGTAAATGAATAAAAGAACAATTCAGTTATATCCAAACACACATCCTGTTCTTATGCCCGATGATGACGTATATGCCGTATATTTTTATTTTTATGATACGTATATTTTTAATTAAAGCAAATATAAGTATGCATATAATAAATAAAAAATAATAATAATACAATATACAAATGCAAATTGTCATGAATAAACTGAAAAAAGCTATAACCAGCTTCCAGCTACAACCCAACACTAGGAAACACCCATACACACTCATTCACACACATTCACTACGGCCAATTTAGCTTATTCAATTTACCTATAGCACATGTCTTTGGACTGTGGGGGAAACCAGAGCACCTGGAGGAAACCCACGCAAACACGGGAAGAACATGCAAACTCCACACAGAAATGCCAATTGTGTATAATGTTGAAATGCCAACCAGCAACCTTCTTGTTAAGGAGGATCCTTATTATCTCACTTTTATTGTCTACAGTGAGTCATTATCAATACAATGTTACCCTACCTAAAACGTTTATATAATTTAAACATGTTTAAAACTACATTCAGTGTTGTTAACAGAAACAATGGTGATCTGTACGTGTTTTCAGCATATTTCATCACTACAGCATTGTTCTTTTGGACAGAAATCCCTTTTCGGGCCTGAAAAGCTGTTTCCTCGCAATGCAGAAGGACAACTTTTATGAAACTCCTTTTGTTTTCACTTTAAACTAGTTAAAATCCCCATTAAAACTCCCCTATGCAGTATTTACTTTAGGAGTCTGCCTGTGTCGTTGGCATGGTGAAAAATTAAATATTGGTAAGCATCTACATGTTTTACAGCATCTGTCTGGCTGGCTGTTAAAATACGTCGCCTTCACCTCCTCACTTCATCAGCACATGGAAACCACACCAACATACTTCACCTTGCAGGTCCTGACCTGGTATTCCATACATCCCCTATACAACCAGCAGGGGCCCGGTAAGGTCACTGGAAGGGGCCGGAGAAAGAGGCCACTAAACGGAGACAAAGCTACCGAACTCTCCCCCCTCCCACCACATTGTGTTGTCCAACCAAGATGACTTATGACTGTTGTCTCCACATTAATGGGCAGCAGCATGCAGTGGCAGGCCGTAAATCAGGCTGGAATGCACTAATCAGCCCAGTCTCACTCAAAACCGCGCACACTTGAAAATAGCACACGCATTAGGTAAGCATAAACAGCCCTGGGTTAAAGTGACCATCGTTTTGACTGCTTAACTTTCAACCTCCACACAAAAGGAAGAGACGAATGGCCAGGAATGTTCCTCACAATTAGTGTGAAATAATGGCTTGAGCGGACGGAGATGCAAGGAAAAGCCCTTGTGATTGTGGAAGTAAATTAGCAGATTAGCTAAAGGAGACATTGGCCAAGGGGACGTCTAAGAGTTAAAACCTTACACTGAGGTGATTAGTTCCAGAGATTCAGAGAAAGTCATCGAGGGACAAAAAAGTCAGTTTTTTCATACATGGAAAATGTTGTTGAACTTATCTACGAATGTCTTCCTATAAGACTGTCCACAATAAAGTTAAAGAAAGATCTTTTAAAAATCACATGTAAGTTTAAAACACATGTGCAAAAGATCTTAGAAATGTACTCTTTTTTTTATCAAAAGTGTATGCATATGGTTTGAAATACTTTATTGCCATTTTCAGCCATTTACTTGAATGTGTAATAAAAATGTCATGTGGTGTAACCATGAAATACAAAAAAGGCTTAACATATCTTTGTTACACATTAAATACATCTTAGTAATTCTTCAAAATAAGAATTTTATTTTTTTGCAATAAAATTATTTTAATTCATAGCTGGCAGTCATGGGTGAGACAATGCTGACCCTGATATTGTCAATAGGAATGAATTTTCTTTTCTTTTTTTTTTTTGCATGTTGAGTTAACCACATGATTAATAGACAAACTTTTATTCAATAATTAAATTATTTATTTAGATTGATTGGTCAAAGTATGAAGACCTAAGAATGGAACACGAGGGTTTGAGGGATAAATTAAGTTAAGATACAATAACAATATCTTTACTAATATGGGGAAACAAATGATGTCTTTTTGTGACCATGAAATCTTTTTTTGAGAAATTTTATTGTTATTTATTAATTTAAAACCATAAAACAAATGTCATGCAAGGTACTCCGTTGCAAAACAGTATCATTGCAATGCCAATTTTGTGATCTGTTGGCGGTTTTTTGTTAATTATGCTAAATTATAGTATAAACAACGATCTCAAAATGTCTTTTTTTGTTCGTCATTTAGAAATCAAGCAATTTTTATTAGTTTTCGAGTTTGCCAAAATGATTTTTATTTCAGAAACTAAAGTATGAATGCTATTATTGAACATTCATTCATTCATTTTCTTTTCTGTTTAGTCCCTTTATTAATTTGGAGTCGCCACAGCGGAATGAACCGCCAATTTATCCAGCATATGTTTTACGCAGTGGATGCCCTTCCAGCAGCAACCCATCTCTGGGAAACATCCATACACACTCATTCACACTCATACACTACGGACAATTTAGCCGACACAATTCACCTGTACCGCATGTCTTTGAACTGTTGGGGAAACAGGAGCACCCGGAGGAAACCCAAGCGAAAGTGCAATTTAATTCAATTTAATTCAATTCACTTTCATTTGTATAGCGCTTTAACAATGTAGATTGTGTCAAAGTAGCCTCTACATAAAAGATCATAGTAAATTGAAACAGTGTAGTTCAGTATTTAGTGTTTAAGTTCAGTACAGCTTAGTTCAGTGTGGTTTATTAATCACTATTGAGGGCCTAAACACTGAACAGTAAATCAACCAATGCGTAGCTCTACCGATCCCAAACCATGCAAGCTAGTGGTGACAGCGGAGAGGGAAAAAATCTATCATACTTAAAATTACTATTATTAATTATATATATTATATTAATTTTATATTATATTATAATAATATGATTAGATCAAATATAATCCTACCTAATATATACACTACCTGACAAAAGTCTTGCCGTCGATCTCAGTTGTAAGAGTAACAAATGATAATAACTTGACTTCTAGTTGATCATTTAGAAAAGTGGCAGAAGGTAGATTACTTTAGCCTCCACATCAAAGTTCCTGAATTTCAAGGTGCTCCAGGATTGGCCAGCCCCATCACCAGACAAGAAAAATCTTGATAAACTCTGGGAGTCCTGCATGAACACTTTCTTTGTCATTCCAGATGACTTTATTAATGATATTTGAGTCATTGCAGAGATGTCATTCAAGCTCATGGGAGTCATAAACAATATTAACTCTTTTTCCACTGCACCATGACTTTATATTCTATACTGTACATTATTTCTGTTAAGTGTCAAGACATTTGCCTAAGCAAAGTCAGACCTTACTGACCTAATAAAATAATTAAAAATAAAGGCATAATCATATTTTATTTTGGTAAAATAAGTGTAATCTAGAGGTTTTTGCCTTTTATTTAAGCAACTTCTGTTACCAAATGATCAACTAGAAGTTAAGTTATTATTTGTTGTTCCTAAAACTTAAATAGGCGACAAGACTTTTGTCAGGCACTGTATATATTTTTAATAATTTTGTGCATGGCTTACCGACACTCAAGAAACCACTGGCGTATTTGTTCTTGCAGGCTTTCTTTAATATCTGCCCCATCCACAGTCCGCACTGACTCTTTGATGTTGACCAGTGCTGTCTGGTACTCAGCCTCATGTTCCTCCTGAATGATGTGCCTCCTGCGTTCCACCTGCTGGGCACGAAGTTGGGCAGGGCTGGGTGTCTGCTGCTGGGCTGGAATCTGGAAACAGGACACCAGGTCACAAGAGATGGAAAAACTGACAACATACAGCACAAAAACATTCAGCATGTGGTTTGATTAAGGGCATGTTTAGATGACACTGCTTTCTGTTATGACTTAGAAACCTCAATGCACTGCAGCTGATGAAAATGTATGCAAAAGAAAAAAAAAACTGGCAGGAAAGCGTTTTTCATCAGTTTGACCCCACATGCTGCAAATACTCATAATGCTGCCAAATACAAAAAAACTGCATATGTTCTTGCATTGTTACACTTGGTATCTTCACTACTCTTGCATCTACAACCTGTGAAAAATTGAGAATTTTGAAAGCTCTAAAGACCTAGTTTAATTGGGAGTTAAGTTGGAGAAGGCTGGTGTTCTGTTGTGCTAATTAGTCAAGTAAAATGAAAATATTCTTTCATTTTCTTGTCGGCTTAGTCCCTTTATTAATCTGGGGTCGACTGCCAACTTATCCAGCATATTTTACTGGTTTTTATAGCAGATGCCCTTCCAGCTGCAACCACTGGGAAACACCCATACACGCTCATTCACTACGGACAATTTTAGCTTACCCAATTCACCTGTACCGAATGTCTTTGGACTTGTGGGGGAAACCTGAGCACCCCGAGGAAACCCATGCAAATGCAGGGAGAACATGCAAACTCCATACAGAAATGCTAACTGACCCAGCCGAGGCTCGAACCAGTGACCTTCTTGCTGTGAGGCGACAGCACTACCTACTGCGCCACTGAACAGTAGTGCAAATGCAGCTTATCTACTAGTGGTTTTGCTTGCTTCTTACCTATTAACTAACAGCTCTGAGAGTAATTCGCATAAACACAGTGTCCATTTGATTAGATTATCATAAGCTAATAATTTCCCAAAAAGCAAAGTAATCATATTTAAAGTCAGAATTATTAGTCCCTGAATTATTAGCCCTCTGTTTATTTTTTTTCCCCAATTTCTGTTTTACGAAGAGAAGATTTATTCAACACATTTCTAAACATAATAGTTTTAATATCATTTCTAATAACTGATTTATTTTATCGTGCCATGATGACAGTAAATAATATTTGACTAGATACTTTTCAAGACACTTCTATACAGCTTAGTGACATTTTAAGGCTTAACTAGGTTAATTAGGTTAATTAGGGTGGTAAATTAAGGTAATTAGGCAAGCTATTGTATAACGATGGTTTGTTCTGTAGATTATCGAAAATATATATAGCTTAAAGGGGGTAATAATTTTGTCCTTAAAATGGTGTTTAAAAAATAAAAACTGCTTTTAGTCAAGACGAAATAAAACAAATATGACTTTCTCCAGAAAAAAAATATTATCAGACATACTGTGAAAATTTCCTTGCTCTATTAAACATCATTTGGGAAATATTTAAAAATAAATAAATAAAAGGGGGGCTAATAATTCTGACTTCAACTGTATTATCAGGATCTTATAAAACCCACTCACATCAACAATGCAATGACAAGTAAACAGTAAACAAGAAACATGTCCACTGAAACCTTTTTATTGTTTGCTACAGTTTTAATAATAAGTTCTATTAGAAGTGGAACATCTGTATTCGGTTGTGATGTGACTATATGCAGCAATGGGGTTTTCTTAATTTGCTGGTATTTTTCTATTTGCATGCACTTTCCTCAGTTGCAGCTTGTTGAAGTCACTTTGTTGCTTTAGTTTTTAAGAAAATTTTTATTTGTGGGCCTTTAAATGTGAACTTTTGATAATTGGTTTTAGAGTTTACGTTTTTAAAAAGTACACTACACTACCTGACAAATGTCTTGTTGACTGTTCAAGTTTTAGGAACAACAAAGAATAACTTGACTTCTAGTTCATCAGAAGTGGTTTATATGAAAGGCAAAGGCCTCTAGATTACGATATTTTACTAAAATAAAATGTGATTATGTCTTGAATTTTAATTATTTAATTAGGATATTAAGGTCTGACTTTACTTAGACCAAAGTCTTGTCACTTAACAGAAAGAATGTACAGTATAAAATATAAAGTCATGATGCAATTTTAAAATTAATAATATTGTGTATGACTTCTATGAGCTTGGATGACTGCATCCATACATCTCTGCAATAACTCAAATAACTTATTAATCAAGTCATCTGGAATGCCAAAGAAAGTTATCTTGCAGGACTCCCAGAGTTCATCAAGATTCTTTGGTTTTATATTCAATGCCTCCTCCTTCATCTTACCCCAGACATGCTCAATAATGTTTATATTTGGTGACTGAGCTGGCCAATCCTGGAGCACCTTGACCTTCTTTGCTTTCAGGAACTTTGATGTGGAGGCTGAAGTACAAGAAGGAGCTCTATCCTGCTAAAGAAATTCCCTCTCCTGTAGTTTGTCATTCAATGGGCGGCACAAATGTCTTGATATCTCAGGCAGATGTTGTCATCCACTCTGCAGATCTCTCACACAACCCTATACTGAATGTAACCCCAAACGATGATTTTTCTTTCGCCAAACTTGACTGATTTCTTTAAGAATCTTGGGTCCATACTGGTTCCAATAGGTCTTCTGTGGTATTTGTGATGATTGGGAGGCAGATCAACAGATAATTGATCAGAAAAATCTACCTTCTGCTACTTTTTCAAATGATCAACTAGAAGTGAAGTTATTATTTGTTGCTCTTACAACTGGGATCGATGACAAGGCTTTTGTCAGGTAGTGTAGTATTTTAACTATTAAAACATGATTTAGTGAAAAGGGTGATGTCATGTAAAGCATTTTAGATGTTTCATTCATAGGCCTAAACAGGACCGTACTTGGTGTGAAGCTGTGTAACATATATTATAAAGCATTTATATCCCTTTATACTGGATTCACGCAAAAGGCATTGTTTGGATAACTTTACAGTCTGTATTTGAAACTTATGTTTTTGTGTAAGTACACATTTAGTTAGGCCTAATGTGGTTATAAGATGTCTACTGAAATGTATTTTCAATAAACATAAAAGTACATCTGAAGAATATTCTATTGTTTACCATTCCCAAAAATATCATCTCCTCTAGGCACTCCTTGTTGACCCTTCTCCTGTCTCGATACCCCCGCCAAACCTAGAAGAAAAAGTACAAAAATTATAATAACAGTAAAACAAGAACTGAGACTGAGGACACATACCAGAAACGATATCATCATTCACTCTGAGATCAAAAACATTCATCTGCTCACTATCTGCTGAAAACAATCTACCGTCGTCTTGCATTCTTTTAGATGAGAAAAATGTACTGCAATGACAGCCAAAATTCCAATCTGACAAATTGAATTGATTCATTCAGTATGTCAGCATGTGAAGATTTAAATATAAACTGTGGGTCAAAAGTTTAGAGTAGTTCCAATGTTTTAGAACTCTCTTATGAGGAGGCGGTATGGTGGCTCTGTGGTTAGCACTGTCGCTTCACAGCAAGAAGGTAACTGGTTCAATTCCCGGCTGGGCCAGTTGGCATTTCTGTGTGGAGTTTGCATGTTCTCCCCTTGGGTTTCCCCCGGGTGCTCTAGTTTTAACCATAATACAAGACATGCACTATAGGTGAACTGAATAAACTAAATTGTCAATAGAATGAGTGTGTTTGGTTGTTTTTTTGTGTTTGGATTGCGACCCCAGTGGTAATTACATTATATTAAAGATACAGCAATAGCGTCAGATGCAGCAGATTGATTTTATAACACCAGGTTAAAGTTTCTGGCCCATTTACAGCACTGACATTAAACGAAGAATATACCTGGGTGTTTTGGTGTGTGTGTGTGACATTGCATGCAAGGTTTCTGTATTCATAACCAGGATATTGGGGGTCGCGAGTCACTGGCATCGTCATATTAGGGGTCGCAGGCTGAAAAGTTTGGGAACCTCTGATCTAGCGGCTGCAATAGCGGTAAACACACAGTTCACTAAAGAACTACAAATCGCCAGTATATGGACATCAAGTTCCAGTCATGCACCGCTTACACGCACCTGTTCCTCATTCCGTTGATTTCACACACTCTCGGCTGGGATCTGCTCATGAACTGATTACATGAACTACACACACAGCACACATGACAGCTCTTTGCTGAGTCTTGTAAACAGTATTGTGAACATTACGATGCGTTTTCCGTGCCTTGTTTTGCCTTGTTAGATCATTGCCTTGTTTTATTGTTTACTCCTGTCTCCTGCTTGACTTCTGACCACTTGCTTGATATTTGACTATGACTCTGGATTTCCTGTGTACATCTGTTTGCCCCTGTGTTGATTGTTGCTTGCCTGACCATTCTCCTATCAATAATCCTGCATTTGGATCCGCAACTCTGTTGTCAGCGTCCACTTCTCATTGCAATAGCCTAATAACTGAGCACCAAATTAGCATAATGACTTCCCAGGAGACACACAACATCATAAGATGGTAATATATGGTTAGATTTAGGTTGCCAATATATAAGGGCAATGATTTTAGGTTGTGTTGGCAAGTGACCAAAACCGAAAGTCGAGCCGACATCTTAAACCAACATCATACTGATGTCAAATTCTGACAATTTTTCGTCAAGTATGGCAACCAAAATCCAATGTCTGATAGACCTCAAATTGTTAATGTCCACACAACGTCAAGATGTAACATCAATAGACATTGATGTTTTATTGTTTTTAGGTTGCGTTGGAAAGTAACCATTGTGGACATTCACGACGGCCTGACGTTGGGTTCTGACATCAACCCGAAATTCATTTCAAAACAAAATGCAGCATTCCACAACGCTGGGGTGCAACATTAATCTGACGTCATGTTGATGTCCTGTGCCTGCTGGGTTCTTTGAAAAACATTTTAAAAATGTATTATTAACTATTTAGCGATTAACTTTAACTTTAACTGGTAACGTAGACCACCTCAACATCAAAGCAAATCACTCATTGCTCGGCTTATACATGTAAGTAAGGCAAGCAGTTTCAATTATTTCCTATATTTGTTTTAATAAATCCTCCTTTTTACTGAAAATGAGAAGGATGCTAAAACAACAATAGCCATCTTAAAAGAGAGGATTACGTTTCCAGGGTTTCAGAGCACAGAAATCTGCTTTGCTGTGAGCTAAAGAATGAGAAGGGAGGCAGGATTAGACCTTGTGAAAACAACCCCACAGACAGAGAGCCCCAAGATCTCTGTTTATCACCTCCAGTAATCGCATTCACTACAAGGTCGAAAATGCACATTGGATAAGCTACTTGAAAAAGAATTAGCCGTAGAGTCAAAGCTTCATGGGGACGTTCATCAATGCTTTTCGGTACCATTTCACTCAGCAATGTTAGCTTCACACCTGCACTGCAAAAAAGTACAACTCTCCAGAATGGTATCTGCTATCTCTTTCAGGCTACATCTATGTCTGCGCTCGCCAACCGTAGCGAGAAGAAGAAGACGTCAGGATACATGAGCTCAGATTTCATGATTAGGATGACCCTGAAAAATAACACCTAAAATCCAGGAATTCTTTCCCTTTCCTGTCTCTCAACACTACAATGTTAATCTTCCACCTCCTGCCAAAGGGCTTACAAGCGCATTATTCCCACAGATGAGTGGACATCTATCTTTTATGCTTGGGTGGGATCGCGTGTCATTCATAGCCCTTTGTGAGCGGACATGATGTCAAACGTGACAACTGATGACTGTGGTAGGAGATGCCCTGACCTCTGCGTTTGGGTTCATACGCAGGTACAGACGCAAACATTACTTCCCTTGTGTGTGATGGTAGGACATCAGTTTCAGTTTATATAATGATAAAAATCCAATTACAGCAACCTCATCATTTATCAGTGGTGCAATGCTTATATTACTCAGTATGAAATATGGGGTTTTAAAGGAACGCTCCATTTATTTATTTTCCCCCTAGAGTTAAACTGTTGAGTTTTACCATGTCTTGAATCCATTAAGCTGATCTCTGTGTCTGGCGTGAGCACTTTTAGCTTAGCATAGATCATTGAATTTTTATTACACTATAGCATTTCCAAAGAGTTTAAGAGTATAAAGAGATCATTTCCATACTCTTTGCAAAACGCAGGGTTCCACACAATTTATTTTTAATGCCCCAACACAAATCGATTAAGTTAACTTGACAAATGGAGTGGATTAAATGTAAAACAATTAAGTTGTCCACAAAAAATTCTGCTCAATTTAAATAAAAAGTTTTTTTGACTGAATTTAAAACTTGACCCTGCTGTAATTGCATTGTGTACAAAGACAGAAGGAAAATAAAAAAGTGCTATTTTCTAGGCCAATATAGCTGCACTGTAAATCCAAATAAATTAGGGTAACTCAAACCATTTAAAGAAACTGATTGCAACAAACCATTTAAGTTCAAAAACTAATCCTAATGAGTACTGTTAACCTAATCCATTTGAGTACACGAAACAATTTGAGCACAGTAAAACCTAATAAATGAAGAGAACGTTCGAGGTTACTAAAGTAACCCTTCGTTCCCCGAGGAGGGGAACGGAAGCACTATAAGTGGATTTGATTGTAAAATCCACGCATTGGGAGGTTCGGTTCAGAAGCTACTCGTCTGAAAGAGTATTGAACGGGCCAATTAAGAATGAATTGGCAGCGCAAGACTGCGCAGGTGAGCGGCATAAGCAATCAACTGAGTATATAAGCTCACCTGGCGCCAGCAGACGCTATCCTTTTTAAGCTGAAGAGACTTTTAACAGCTAAGGGACAGTCATTATGGCGACGGAGTATAGTGCTTCCGTTCCCCTCCTCGGGGAACGAAGGGTTACTTTAGTAACCTCGAACGTTCCCCTTCGGGGGGAACTCCAGCACTATAAGTGGATTTGATTGTAAAATCCACGCATTGGGAGCCCATTGAAAGCGCCATAATGACTGCACCTTACCAACACCCACCATGAGAGAGCGGTCAGGCAAGCGTGACGCACCCAGATCACGAGAGGCGTGGTCCTCCAACGTGCCCTTGGCCCTAACTTATCCTACTTCAAAAGAAGTTTTACGGAATAGGTATCTTTTTTGGGAGTCGCTAGCGTCTAGATAATTCTAGGAATACACGACAGTACGTTGGGAAGCGTGCCATCCCAGTAGGGAGGACGCTGCGGAGACCATCCGCACCCAATAGGGGGAACAATGGAATTACATATGGACTAACCCTGAAAAGGGGGAGTGCGCATAAGAAGGTGGTTAGCAGATAGGGAAAGCACGGGTCCGCCCAGGGGGGGAACTTAACCGTGGCGGAAAAGCATATGGGGATCACCAGCGGGGATCGGTCATAGCAGGCACCTATACCCAAAACGCGGGCTGACCAGCGGGCAGACCTACTACGTAATGGGCCAGCAAGTGACTCCTCCGCTGAGTCAGTGCTGGGGGCCTCGGAGGAATCTGCAGGGCTCACCGAATGGGGAACTTTACTGACAGACAGGAGGGTGCACATCTCTCCGTGTTAGGGAAAAAAAGGCACCGCAAGCGTGTACAACACCTACCGAGTTGTTTCCTCAATCACCAAAGGTACCTAACACCCTTGAGGAAACCGGCTCCACTCGCAGATTATAAAATCTTGCAAATGTGTTGGGTGTCGCCCAGCCCGCAGCTCTACAAATGTCTGCTAAAGAGGCGCCACGCGCACACGCCCAAGAGGATGCAACGCTCCGAGTGGAGTGCGCATGCACTCCTGGGGGGCGCGGCTGGCCTCTGCTCAAATAAGCACAAGAAATGGCCTCCACAATCCAGTGGGATAAACGTTGTTTAGACACGGCACTTCCCTGCTGCCGTCCGCCATAACAGACAAAGAGCTGCTCAGAAGATCTAAAGTTCTGAGTACGGTCCACATAAATGCGCAGAGCGCGAACTGGACAAAGTAATGACAGGGCTGGGTCTGCCTCCTCCGGGGGCAGCGCTTGCAGGGTTACTACCTGATCTCTAAAAGGAGTGGTAGGAACTTTGGGCACATAACCCGGGCGGGGTCTCAGAATAACGTGAGAAAATCCCGGCCCGAATTCCAGGCACGAGTCACTGACCGAAAATGCCTCCAGGTCCCCGACCCTCTTAATGGAGGCCAACGCGACCAGCAGAGCTGTCTTCAGGGACAGAAATCT